TTTGTTCAGGAGAAATGCTCATGATAATATCATAATATATTACAGCGTAGTGGAATCAGGCTCTCGTCAATTTTTGGATATGTAGAGTTATTGGTATCATATTAAAGCTTGTTCACTTTTCTTTTGCTTGGGATTTTAAAAAGTATCCATTTATCTTGAATACAAGTCGAGATATTTACGAAAGAAGGAGGTAGAGGTAAAATTAGTGAGAAAATGGCCAGGTTAGTTATTTCCTTAGATTAAGAGTCCGTGGTAACTGAAACTTTCTGTGCCTTTAATCTGAAAAATCCACCCAGAAACGAGTTCTTTAATGGTCATAAAAAGTATTGAACAAAAAACAACAACAAATCATAAAAAGTATTGAACAAAAAACAACAACAAAAAACCCCAAAAATTTAATAAAAATTCACAAACCTAGGGAAAAATGCAAGATTCTTCATTTTGATTATTTTGACGAGAGCCATGATTCCACCACGCTGCCTCATTATTATTATAGTCGGCGAAAGGGACAGTGGGGGGGGGGGGTAGGTAAATAGAATGTCAGTAAAAATTGACAGTTGCAAGACTGCAATAGGCCTAAGTAAAATGAAACAAATTACTAGATCTGTGGCTAGGCCTAAATGCATTGCTAAATTCACCAACATGAAATTTTGATAACAAGAGACATGAGGGTGGAAATCGTGGGATAAACCTGGCCAGGAAGGGGGACAACTTTTAGAATCTAACTCTCATAAAAATAAAACCATCGAAAGGTTGCAGTGAGTTTGTTTTGGTCAACGGGTGGTTAAGCAAAAGATTCAGCGGTCATTGTATGACCACAGTCAGAGACGTATGTTTTCTGCTATAAAACTTTTTGTTTTTATTCTTGCATAGCACTCCTGAAGATTTGTGGTTCGAAGCTTTACTCGCTGTCTTCTAGATCTATCTAGATTCTAGATCTACCCTGTCAGTCTTAGACATACATTCACGTGTAGGTCTGCCTAGCAGTAGCAGCGTGGATGGCAGTCTCAGGCCTGTGGTCGTGGTGTGTGAAGGATTTAGACTGAGTTTTGAGTTGCGCGTGTTTATGAAAGCAAAGAATTTATGGGGTGAACCAAAGAATGTCTAAAGACATCGTTCATCGCACTATAGCCATTATATTGCGTAGATCTAATCTAGATCTAGATCTAGTCTCTGTCCGTAGTGAGCTGTGCTCATTTGATTTTGAAATGATCTGAGGCCTGGGATGTTGTTGTCTTTTCTTCCAATTCTTCCCCAATTTTAAGTTACCGGTAATTAAAAAGAGCAGGGGGTGTGAGTTACGGTGCTCTTTGACTTTGGAAATTGCCTTCTCGTTCCATTGGCAGCCATTCTGAAACTGCTTATTTGCCATGTAAACGTGAAGATGGATGTTTTTTAAAATTGTTATTTTTGCTGCTACTCTGCAGCATCCTGCATACACTATAATTTATAAACACGGTGGGTCCACCAAAGTTCAATCCATCCCCAAAAAAATTTTAATACAAAAAAGGCAGAAAAATATTACTGGCTAACGGTGGTAGAGTTCACTTAGCCTACATTGCCACTTTTGTCCTTAGCCATCACTTGTTTCTTATATATATGTAAACAAACGGGAAGGCAATTTCCAAAGAGCCCTCCTGTGAGTTCTATTTATTCAGTAAAGCCTACTACTACTACTACACTATACCTTGAAGTTTCTTGTCAATTCTATAATGCTTCTTATCCCATTCCAAAACTAAAATGATCATATTAGAATTATTAGATTCTATAGCTTTACGTTTCGTTTTTATTAAGTTTAAAAAATCATAAAAAAAGGCCGGCACTATTTCTCCGAACGTTCGGGAAAATAAAGCTGGGCACTATTACTCCGAACACTCTGAAATCACATCCCTTCACGCAAATTTCGGATACATATTATATATAGATCTATTACAGGCCTACCAAAGATTGTTCGTAGAGGTCTTATATATGGTTCAATCGGTCCAAAATATGTCTGCAGTAAATATTTTGAATGCTACAGTTCCAAATAGTTTTTCGCTACAGATATGACATGTTGCCTATGAAGGGTGCTGCTCTTAAACTTAATGTGTTGTGTTCACTCGTGTACTGTCTAGATCTAGATCTATGTAGGGTATTATAATGACACAGAGAACTAGCATCAACGTTTGTCGCGGCCACAACCAGTCAATCGTGGCTCGATTTTTTTGGCATTTAATTTGGTCCCCGAATCAGGGAATAAAAGCCATCAAATAATAAAAATGTAAAAAAAAAAAAAAGAAAAAAAGAAACCGCACCTCTTTACTTTTAAAAGAAAGTTCACTTAGCTTCACTTCGTCTCTTTCTCACTTGTTGTCACCACACTGATTTGTTGAATACGTTACAGTTACATGACATACAATTTGTACTGCTGTTCCTCTTTTATTTTACCCTCTTTTTGGTGTTTATTTTGTTGGTCTAGGACACTACAGGTGTGTTGATTTTTTTTTCTTGTATTGTTCTGATACATCAGAAAACACATGTGTTTTATTTCTATTCCTTTTTTTGTTTTTAATTTTTTTGTTTGTTGGGGAAAAGGGTGGGGTGGGGGGGGGGTGTTTGTAATGTCATTTAATTTGATGTTCCTACCTTCATTAAATTCTAAATATCATATACATGATAGAGATTTAAATGTGTTATGTTAGAGCGTTCCACCAAAACCGATGTACTGACACTGGCAGGCCCCTTGTGCGTGATTCCATAATTTACATGTAATATCCTCCTGTACTTTAAAAAAAAATTACATACATTTTGGGTTAAAACAGCCAATCTTCTTCGGACAGGTGGACACACGCCTTTATTTGTTAATTTTTGGGGTTGTTTATGGGCTGTTCTAATTTTGATTTCATTCTGTTGTGAAACCTTTCTTTTTCACATTTTTACACTCGTCTAAAAATCTCCAGACTAGCTCTTGAAAAGTGAAATAGATCCAGACCCAAAAATTTGCTCCTTCCCAGACCTCGCAGAATGGCAGAATGAAAGTTAGCTCCGAACTCTCGCAAATAGGCAAAAAATCACGAAACCGGAAACCGTTCAGAGAAATAAAGATCAACACTATTTCTCCGAACGTTCGGAGAAATAGTCACTTCGTTTAAAAAAAACTTGCGTTTTCTTCTGACTTCCCTGCTCTTCCACTTGGTATTATTACATTGTACAAGTTCAATTGTGATTTAGTTTGGAGAATTCCTAGAGGTATAGTATGTTTCCATAAGTTTTTATGTGTGTATATTAAACGCATTCTGTTTGCTCTGTCCTTTCATTTTAACATTACTGTCATGCTAGATCTATTTGTTTAAAAGCTGTCATTATTTTTGTGAGTGACTGCAATCGTAGACATTATGGTATTTTATGCCTGTGCAGCATTGCATCACATATAATATATATGTAATGTCTGATGTGTTTGCTAATGCTTGTTGCTGATAACTATTTGTTGTCCTGCTTGTGTTTCAGAATAGAGAACAGATAGAATGGAGACCTCAGATCGCATCATTGAGGGTCTGTACCTTGGAGGGGTGATGGCAGCCCTGAGTGAGAAGGACCTTCAAGACAAGAAGATCACTCACATCCTATCAGTCGATGAGAAGCCTTTGCCCGATATCCTTACACAGAAACTGACCTACAAGCATGTGTTTGCCTTAGACTTGTATGATTTTGACTTGTTGAGTGTCTTACCAGAATGCGTTTTGTTCATTGACCAGGCGATTGAAGGACATTGTGCTATCTTGGTACACTGGTAAGTCAAGTTGATAAGTTCCAACATTTATATATTTATTTATTTTGTTGGTTTAAATTTGTGTTCCTTTAGTAAAAGCAGAGGTTTGTGTGCACAAAGCATAAATGCTGTTCTTTTGTAAATTATATTATATTATATTTTGTTATGTGCTTCTTATGATAATTCTCATACAGGGCAAGATCAAATTGACTAAATGTTGCTGATCAGATTTTATGTGTCGGTGAGAAGGCATGTCTGAGATTGTTTGCTATACGCTAACCTAAGAAAGGACTGTCTCTTTTTTGTTGGATGTTGGTGTATCCTGTCCAAAAGAACAACCCATTGTCTAGTCAAGGAGAAAAGTGGTCATCTTCCACAAGTTGTCCTCATTAGTGTCATTGTAATTTAAAAAGAAAAAAAAGCAAGGTGGGAAGTGGTCATTTGCACCAGTGAGTGTCTTGGACAAATGGTCTTTAGAGCAGGTTCTATTGTTATCATCAGTATGATAACATTAAATATATTCTGAAATGAATAGACAAACCTTTGACATTCAGATGCACTTTTGGGAATTCGAATCAAGACTGTCACAACACATATCGGAGCTGTATTCCAACTTGCTTACCAACATGCCTGTGAAATGCCTTAAACCTGACCCAATAATGATACAGTTTGTTTCTTTCCTTCCCTCCTCTCAGTCAAACTGATGTGCTGGCAAGCCTGTCATTACTGTGAAATGCCTTGAACCTGAACCAGTAGTGTTACATTTTGTTTGTTTCTTCCCTCTCCTCAGTCAGGCTGGAATGTCTCGAAGTGCGACTGTTGTGGCTGCCTACCTCATGTACAAACAGGGTCTTAGCAAGGCCAAGGCTTTGGAACACGTGTCCTCCTGCCGGCCTCTTGTCAGGCAAGTTGTCCTTGTTTGTTTCACTTTCTTGTTTCATTGTTTTGTTCGAATTTTGTTCTTGTTTTCATTTTTTCTAGAAGTGTACGTATATGTAGCTAGTGTAGACAATACATGTCCACCTTCATCCTGGCTGTTGCTGGAGGGGAGTATCCTGTTTTGTAATGGCACATTTGTATGCCCTGTGCACATTCCAAGAAGTTTCATCAAAGTCCTATTTGATATGGTTTGGTATATTTGAGGGGAAGACAGATTTGCCAACACAGAGGGGCAAAGGCTACCATTTTCTTTGGATTTGATCAAATCCTGGAAAGTCAAGTACATGTGATTATTTTTTGTCGTTACTGTCTTTATTTCTGCTCCCTCTCACTCTCTCCATTCCTCATCCCCTTTTTGGCACGTCCCCTGTCTGTCAGTCTCTCATCCTCCCTCCCCTTTCCCCTCTCCCTTTTAGCCACAAAAAAATTGTAGAAATCCATAGCTGTCTGCTCTATCCATATTTATATTATATATCTACTTGTATAACTGTTTTATGAATGAAAGAATTAACTTGTTTTTTTCTTTGCTTCTCTCACAGGCCAAATGATGGGTTCCAAGAGCAATTACAGCTGTTGGAGAATATGGGAGGCCAAGTGAACAGGGGTCACTCCGAGTTTCGAGCTTACCAACTAAACAAGCTGGCTGTCAAGTCAAAATGTGGCCAGTTCGCAGGAGGTACTAGCTGTTGACACGCTATCTTGAAGCGAGATATCACAAGGGATAAGTGACTGGAATATTTTTGTCTTTTTTTTGTTGTTCTACGATCATTGCCCAGCCAATTCTTCAAGTCATCAGTAAATTAGGAGTCAGCATGTACTCTAAATTGTTTGAAAATAGCGTGAGTTATAGATAGAAACACTTTTGATTGCTGCTTGAGTAGTGCACTTTTAGCTCAGATGGTATCATCCTGGACCCGGATGAGGATGATATTGGTTCAACTCCCTGATGGAGTGTTTTCCAATTTGATTTATTTTAGGCGTTGTCATAGCTCTTCACTTATCTACCTCAGTCTTGCGTGGGATGGATGGTAAAAATAGAAAGGTCTCGTCTTTTGAATCACTCAACAGTGTCCAAATGGGAATTAAACACATATATCCTACCTTTTTCATGTCACTTTTCGGTTCATTGTAAAATATTTAGAAATGCATCTAAATTCTCAGGTGAACTACTTCTGACACTGGCCACGTAGGCATGGTTGATAAATTTGGCTTTTTTCTCGGGTTAGAAGTCCCTTTCTAGTCCAGGGATAGGTGGGCTAGAATGTGGATATTCTAGTCTTTATGTCAACCTACGAAACTTCCAAAGGTCACATATGTGCTGTAGAGATGCTATGGAAGTTAAAAAAGTGAAAGCAGGCCAGTAGGTCTGTTTGGTGGAGGGAAAAAGTTCTGAATGAGTCCCGTCCTAATTCAGAAAAGAGCCCAGGGTATGAGTACCTTGGAAAAAGGCTGTGAGACTGTGTGGAAACAAGATGCAACTCCCTAGAAGGTGAACAGGTTGTGTTATTATTGTGTTGTAAGTATGACCTGTTTTCCTACACACTATAAAAGATTGATGATCTCTGGTCTCAAATCTTGGCCTCATTCTCATCCTTGTGCACATGATAAAACCATCTAGCATAGGTTCTTTGATTGCAAAGCCCTTCACATGGAAAACAATTGCTTTATGCTTTGATCCATGTGCCCCCATATCTGACTGCTTCTTTTCTATCAAACGTCTATTGCCCCTGTCTATTCTCCATTTTTGTGTTTGTTACACTCTTGTAACACCTCTAATCTTTGGCGCTTTTATGTCATGATTGTGTTGCAAGTGCTGCAAAACTACTACTAATACTTTTTTTTGAAAACTCGGACTGTTTCAGGTGTCCCGGAGCATGAGATCCCGTCGGAGGTGTTTGTCCAGCCCGATTACTCCGGCAAAAGTGGGGACGCCTACTACAAGTGCAGGAAGTGCCGGTGAGTTTTTTTTCCCCGGACTTCAGGAAAGTGGATTGCTCTTTTGCGTGAAAGATTGCAAAATGGTTTTGATTAAATTCACACCCCAATTTATACAATTTCAGGGTGTCCAGCAAAGTCGTAAAAAAGTCGTAAATTCGGCACCCTGGTCATAAAGGTCATAAATGTGCCATGAAGGTAGTAAACTTTTGGTAAACAGTCGTAAATTAACCTGCGTACTGAGTGATGAAGCCATCAAGACTTCATTGAACCCTAGCCTCGGTACATGACTCCGTTTTTACTTCATTGAACCCTAGCCGCAGTACATGACTCCGTTTTTGCCGGTCACTATTGTGATATAATATTCGTTCGTTCACCTTTTCCCCGTCCGAGAGTACGTTTCACGCGAAAAGATGGCTATAGCGGCAGGTGCAAGTGTGTGTGACACCGAGGCTCGATTGGGAAAATCAAGATCTACTTTCGCTTTCAGAAATTTGCCGGCGATGGACTGATAACTAACGCAAAATTTGTGACAAGCAGGTTGTGCAGTTTAAATATATTTAAACGCTGTGCCACCACACAAATAAAATTTCATCAGTACTTGGACTCGTCTCTGTGCTGTCACTTTGGGGGGGGGGGGGGGGGGGGGAGAAAAGAAAGTTCAAGCGTCATCTGATTTTTAGATTGTCGGGCTCGCCATCGTGACCTGCGCGCTTGTGCACTGCATTTGTTGTTGGGGTCGCCAAAGTTCATTCAAATTCTGAGCGTTGCAAAGTATAGGTCTAGGACTATGGAATGGGGTAGAGGATTATTGATTTTTTTTTAAGATGCACTCGGGGGAGGGGGGGGTGGGTGCTGAAGGCAGCACCAGAGGACGAAAACTTTGGATGGGTGATAGTAAATTATAACAATATTGTAGCTTTCTGTTCAAGGCTGGTAGGTTTTCAGTGTCACTGCATCAGAAAGTTCATACAACTCTCTCACTGCATGGGCCTACTAGTGCCATTCAAGTTATTGAGTTTGAGCAATAATTTTTGCCTTTCATATTCATAGTATTATGAGTCATGACACCCAGATTGGTTCTTGACAGTCGAAATTCTTGTTCAAGGTCTTTCCCAACCCTCAAAGCAGGATTCATTTATTAATATGTAATGCGAGGAAAATTTATAACACACTGAAATACTTACGCTAAGTCAAACAAGACCCCAATGCAACACTGACATGTTGTTGACTGGGTATATTTTACACATGCGCGCGCGCGTGTGTGTGTGTGTGTGTGTGTGTTTTGTCATGTAACATGCCCCTGGAAAATGGATGACCCCCTGGAAAATGGAGAAGCCGGTTTGGCAGTCACCCTGTGTGCACACATTAGGTCTAAATCTACAAACCCCCCCCCCACCAGTGCTACTGACTGAAGCGTCTTTAGGGCATTCCCAGGGGGGGGGAGGGGTATTAACATACTCTTATGCACAGTAGAATTGTAAGTACGGGCTGATTTATCAATGTCATGCTTATACTGTGCCGTAACAACTTTGGGGGAACTGCTGCTTTTTCTTCTCATCCTTACTATCGTCTTTTCCTCTACTTCTTTTATATGTTTGTCACTCTTGTGGCCCTCTATTTTGCGGGGTGCCTTGATAGTCGAAGCAGACTTTGTGCTGTTGAGTTTAGAAAGGTGAGCAGAGTTAGCTTGATTGGCCGTTTAGATTTTTCTGTTGACATCCACCCCTTGTCGCCCATATGACCTTATGCAGTTGCGAGCGCTGTAAAAACATTACGAAAACTAAAATTAAATCTAGCGGCAAGCAAGCTTGTGATCATCTGTCTATCCTCTATTTTGTTGACTGGACGTTTTTACGTGTTATTTTCGTTAACGCAATAATTTATGTAATGATGATATATTTAGTGATGGTGCAAATGAACTCCCTTTTTCGAGCTGGTGTGGGGCTTGATTTGCTGGGTAGTAAATTATTTTTCCAGGTAGTAAATTTTTTCAGCAAATATTGCTGGACACCCTGAATTTATATCATTTAAATGGTATTGGCTCATCATATATAACAATAAAGCACAGACTTATGGAACACGGTAGGGGTAGACAGATGTGTTTGACACATCCGTAATTTTAGTAAATCGTGTTAAAACAAAAATATAAAGAGAAATATTGAAGAAGATCAAGGGAAGCAACTGTTTCTGGTATCGATTAAAGGATAGAAGGATGGATAGCACAACACCTTGTCGGATGTCCAAGAAGGATAAAGAAAGAAAGACTAAAAAAAGATAGTTGTTATCATATCAAGATCATGAGGATGTAACCAACACCAGTCAGAGCATGCCACCCACCCCTTTTTTGCTATCACTTCCCAATCCAAATCTTAACATTCCAGCAACGGCACATACTCAAACATGCTCATAAATGCAAACACACACAGAAACACAAACATAATTCTCACATTTGGCCCAGTTCAAAGCCGTACAGTCTGTCTCTGATCACACCCCTCCATCCAGCACTCACCTTCACTTAACAAGGTGAGCTGCTGGCAACGGCTCTGGCGTATTCTTTTATGACTACTTCGATATCAAATTTCTTTTCGGCTAGTGCCAAAAACAAATCTCTTTTAGCGTTTGTCTCCTTATGTGCGATGCGAAGTCGCATTGTGTATTGTCCTTGCCGCTCTAATATCAATAAAGCAAGATTATAAAGAAACCATCTCCGTATACGCGACAAGATGTCTATTCACATGCGACCGTCGCCTGCGGTCGTTCCATGAGCGGACGATGGTCTCGTCGTGAGCAACACACTTGGGGTGTGGCAGTGTTTAGAGCATCACCATTGGTGAAAGTACTTAGCCAAGGAGTGCCGGTCAATACGCCATGTAGGGGGTGTGTGTGTGTGTGTGTGTTTGTGTAGGATGTTCATCTTCAATTCGATCCATTGCAAGTTTTGTGAATCTAATCTTGTTGTTTTGGTTTTTCTTAACGGTCAGCAGGAGGAGAAAGAGGAGGAGGAGGAGGACTTACACGGGATTGGCCATGTGCGGAATAAAAAATGTCAGTGGATCATAGAATTCCCATCTGACGGACTTTGTACTTCCTTGTCCGTCTTGACATTAAAACTTGCCCCTGTCTCTCATCTGAGAATTGCCAGTGGCATGAGAATTTTGCCAGCCCTGTGCGGTTAAATGTCGCGTCGTGCATAAGGAGAGTTTTGTCGCACGTAACTCAAAATTTTGGCACGATGTGGTCACACATAAGGATACACACCTCGTGACTCATCACTAGCGACTGTCGCGTGCTTAACGTCGCGTCGCGCTGAAGGAGACGTAGGCGTACTGGGAGATCATTCATTGAGAAAAAAACTATCGAAATTTGTTCACTTTTTAAATTTAATGACCAGTTTAGGGACATATATTTGTTAATTTTAGATTTCATACGAAAATAGGGCCCCGGCATAGTGGGTTTACTCCCCCCCCCCTCTTTCCAACGGAAATAAAGAGTTAAGGAAGTTCTAGTGCCTTACACACACTGCAGGTAATTTGTGCAGGGGCGAGCACAGTGGGCTCGTGTGACCTGATACTTTTGATGATGATTGGTGGGTTGCTTTCCTTCGTGGAGCAGGGCGATATGAATGCAAGATGTTTGGGAGGAAATTTTTTTCTGGCTTTTTTTTAGGTGAGCTGTTCTACACATCTTCAACATATCTATGCAGGTGTTTAGGAAAAAAAAGACCATGTTTCCGATGAGAAGAAAAATATGGTTCAGTCTAGGAATGGCATTGTTTTAGCTATCTATGAATTCAAGCTTATTCAGTCCCACAACACGTAGAGCACAAAAATCTCCCTTTCTCCCACCCACAACTGCAAGCTCGCAGTCATCACATGCAGAAAACCTGAAGCCCATCCCATCACGGTTTGGACAAGGAAAATCGTTTCCCTTGATGCTCAGATGGTGGTGTTTTTCGACCAAGGATAGCAGCATTTAAAACCCCATTACACTGCCAGCCCCGTTTTATCACAAACTTCATGCTCATCTCGAGGTTGGCAGTATGACAAGGTTTGGCTGCATTGTTTAGCAATGTCAATCGGGCTTGCGCGCAGTGAAATTATGGTCCCCTTTTTTGGGTGTATTTTTGGACCGGATCAGAACGTAGGTGACTAATTTTCTCAAACTCGGTCTGCTCTATTTGTTTACCATATGAATGAAACTTGGCAACCTATCAGAAAATAGGGCAAACTAATGATGTGATATGTGGATGTTGAAGTTTACACAAATAAATTAACCTATATTTTTGGTGTCGGAAACAGTTTCGTATCACATATTCTGTTTTCTATAAGGAATTTGATTCAACGTCGAGAATGTAAGAGATTTATCTTTCTTCTATAGTGACTTCAAATTTAATCGTTCTGTGTCAA